TGGGTCCGCACTGCGCCTACACCGCACGGTGTGATGAATGACGCGACTAACAACCGACAGCAGGCAACCAATTTGACAAATTACCCGCCCGCCTCGTCTATATCTCCTAAACGGTGGGCATTAGGAGCGTTACGCCAGGGACAACAAACTTGGATCTCAAATTCGATTTCCCGATTTCGCGTCCCTAACGCTCGTAGCGCGCACCGTTCGCGAAACCGTAGGCGCTTTAAATTTGGAACGCTGGTTCCCGTTTGCTCGGCTAATCTCCCCCAACGCGGGCCGGCGGCCTTCCTGCACAGACACGTGCAGCGCCTGACTTAGGCATGCAGCCTCGTACCCGGACTCCTTAACAAGGCGAAGGTGTGCGTGAATTACTCACGAGTGCGGAACAAAGAGCTCGCGCGCAAAGGGTAAAGGGCTGCCTGCACAATGGCACCACTGCCGAGGACCGGGCCGACGCCGACGGGGTGGGGAGGCGGCGCGTCAGCTACCCGGCCGGCAGTAGTGGGTGGGCGCGGGGCGGCGGGGCCAGCAGGGCAGGGCGGGAAGGGAACCGCAGGTCATCAGCGCGCCGCTTCGTTCACCAAATCCGCTGGGTAATTTTCGTGAAAGCCGCCACCGACAGCACTGCTAGCACCACCAGCGAGGGGAGAGGGTATTTGATCCCCCGGGGGGCATTGTTATCGAGTGGCCGTGCGGCACGGCGCAGACCGCGCGGCACGACATGTGACGCTGTCGCTGGCGCCGCACGCCGTGCGCTTGCCGTGTCAATCAGCGGCGACCGGGGCAGGCAGGGGCCGACCGGGGCAGGCAGGCACGACCGCCGGGGCGACCCCTGCCCTGGGGCGGTATCGGCTGCTTGACACTTCGCGCGACAGTGTGTGAGAGTGTGTTGGAGGTTGTGTGTTTTGCTGTCTTGCACCAACGCCCCAAGTCCATAAAGTTTGGCGAACTATGAGACCATCTACCTGCACCGACCTGTGCACCTTGCGGAGTGGACCGCTTTAAACTGCAAAGAGCCGGAAGCGCCCGCGGCTCGCCGAGCAGCACAATGTACTCAAGTATTCGTCGCAGTGCGGGGCGGTGTGGGGTGGGGCGGGGCGGGTCGGGGCTCTAAATGAGACGGCGGAGATTCACGCGACGGGGGCGTGCTCGGACGACGCGGCGCGGCGGGGCGCCTGGCCCGGGTTCAAACACCCGCGCGTGTGCAGGTCGGGTTGTTGTTTTAGGTCCCGTTGTTGTTTTTCCCTGGCAGTGGGGATGCTTCGACTTGATCAGGGCAACAGCCGTGTCGGCGCGAAGACGCATTGGCTTCAGAGTGACAGGCCCTGGGGGAGGCTAGGTGGGAGAGGTCACCGGGTCACATGGCCCCTCAGAGAGAAAAAAGGACGTCGCGCGTCTGCTCTAAATCAGGATAGCACACGTGAGTGTGAGAGGAGGGAGCGCGCGCGTTAGTCCGTGCGCATGCCTGATTTTCATGTCCCGGGCCTTTCAGAGGGCCTTTCAGAGGCATCCCCCTCGGCCTATCTGAAGACGGCATCGTGCTACTTCGTGGGCTTTCAGTGTGTGGTTTCACTGAAAGGATCGAAGAGGAGGGGGATTCTGCGCTGATAACACGCGGCGGTATGATGAGGCAGCCATACACGTTGTCATTCATGTATACGGGGTAAGCCGGGGAGGCTCCTTCGCCTGGCAAGATCAGGACGGGACTCCCCGCTCGCCCCGCTGCTCCGTGTTTCGCGGTCGTGGAAGTCTACGCCGCGGCGCGCCAAGTCTGCTGGAAACGGGCGCCTCTCTCGTGTCGTGCAGTCGGAGTGAGTTCAGTTGCGGCCCGAAAGATTGATGAAGCAGCCGAGGCCGGCCGAAGCGGCGCCCCGATTGGCTGCCGAGCGAGCAGGTTGATCCAATTAGGTGCGAGGAAATGGCCGAATTATCGTGGCCGTGATTAAAGTGTCCCTGAGGCACAGAGCACGACAGAGTCTCAAAGCCCGCCGTGTTTTTCGTAATTCGGCCGCGTGCGCTGTTGAGCTGCCGAGCGGACTCGGAGTCACCAGGCGAATACAATTTGGGCAGAAGAATCTCGGGCCGCCTCTGTGTTTCATTTGGGAAACGAGCCGGCTCGGCGTGGCAAGTGGCATTAATGGCATTAAAATGCATGGGCGAGTCCATTGCCCGCTGTCCGCGGTGACACTGTGGGCGACAACCGTGCGACTTGATTATGCCCTGACTGGTCGATCCGAATAGAGGGCGAACAAGTCGCACTTGGGGGACAGGGCCGCGGCCGTGACGTGTGGGCCTCCCCCGCCGCCCCGCCACGCCCCGCGTCGTGGCCAAGCGGGGACAGCAAACAGCACAAACTCGTTTCGATGTATGGACCGACGGCGAAGTCGACGCGTGGGAGTGAGGCCGTGGCGGGGCAGGCAAAACCCAACGCGTCACCAGCCGGGCCCCAATAACGGGGTCCGGGACCTTGCCCGGGACCTTGCCCGGGACTTTGGAGGGCCCTCCTGTTGTGCGCGACCCGGCAGCAGGGCCGGGCCCGGGCCCGGCTCGGCTCCCGTCCAGGTGCTTGAGAGGGCGCAGGCCCGCGGCGGGCTTCGCTCTCGCCTGGCTGGCCGCCCAGCCCAGCCTCGCCCCGGGGTAACTTCCATAACGGGGACACCCGGGCGTGGCCCCCGCCTCGCTCGCCGTCCCGGTGCGGGGCGGTGGCCCTGACAGACCCTCCACTGGATAACAGCTTATTTGAGACAAGAGGCCCAGTCTGCCCAGCCTGATCCACTTGCCGCAACAGTGAGGGGCCTGGAACGCCAGGAACGCCAGGGAGGGGCGAGGCAGCCGGGACGCTGCAGGCTGATTCCGAACGGTGCTGCTCTCTCGAGGGGGTAACGACTTCGGGAATCCGGCTGACAGCAAATTGGTAATCCGTAATCCGGATAACCCGAATTTTTGAGGTAATCCGGGGTAATCCGGGCAAATTTTGAGGTAATCCGGGGTAATCCAGGAATTTTTTTGTTGTAATCCGGAGGTAATTTGGGGGTAATCCGGGGTAATCCGAGGTAATCCTTAATCCGGCTGACACGAAATTTACCAGTCGTTACCCCCTCGTGCTCTCTGCTCTCGCGCAAGGGCGGGGCATTGCGAGGCCGGGGCGGCGGGGCGCTGGCAGCCGTGTCCGCCAACGCGGCGAGGCTTGTCAGGCAGCACTGCGCCGCACAGACTGCGCGTCGTTATTTTGGGGCAGACGACATCATGCGACCCGCCGCGCCTGTGTGCGTCTCTATCTGAGAAAATGTTGCCTCCTTCCCGTCGTCGAGACTGACACGTTTTATTTTTGCCGGGCACTTCCCTAGCGGGGTTTCAATAATGTGCGCGAGACTCACTTGACCCGGTGCTCGGCGCGGCGCCCCTCTCGGCCCGTGCTCTTCCTCGTCGTTGCCGTGCAAGTGGAAGTGGAGTAGTTCTCAGCGCGCCCGAGAGGGACGTGTAGTAGAACGAAGCGGGCGGGGCGTTCCGTTAGTGAAGGGTGCTGAGGGTGCTCCATAGAAAACTCCGGGCCGTAGGTGCTGGCGTTGGCTGCTGCCGGATCGCGCCTCTCTGCCGAGCGCGCCGCCGAACCCAGGACGAATTTGGGCCTGGAAGTTGTCGTGGCAACTCCGGGAACTCCGGGTACTGTGCGTGTCGCGGGGCAGTAATCGCGGGGCGCGTCGGCCTGTCGGCCTGTCGGCCGCTGCATCCTCGCCGCACTTCCGGCCGCGTGGCCCGGCGTGCCTTTGCGTGGCGGCGCGCGGTTAGCGGGCGTCGTTCCGGAAGACAGACTCGGCGAGCCTGCCTTTGCCTTTACGCCGGCCGTGCCGTCGGCGCCGTCTTCGTGCACCTCCGTCCCCTTCCGGCGCCCTCCGCCGCCTTCCACTCTCCACGTGAAACCTTTGCGCTTTCTTCCGTCCGCCAGTAGTATGCGCACCTCATTGTGTCCCGCCGCCATTTTGGCGCCCCATTGTCACCCTCTGCCACGGCTTCCCTCACTCACCGCACTGGCCTCCGCCACTAGCAGGGCCAGCAGCCATCGACGTGGACGTGTTCTTGCTTCGAATGCCACCACCACTAGAGTGCATTGAGCGAACCCGCCTCTCGCGCGCTCTGTCCACCGTCAGTAGTATGGACTCCCCATTGTCACGCGCCGCCATTCTGCTCTCCCCAGAATGGGGCATTCGATAACGTGTTCTTGCCTGCGCACAAGCCGCCGTCGTCGCGTGTACGAACTCCGCATGCAACCCCAATCCGGTGCCCCTCCACCACAGGACCGCAGCCTGCGCGCCGGGGTTTGCAATCGACGTGCCCCTTCCCCCTCCGGTCTGCGGTGTGCCGGTGTGCCCGTCCCGCTTCCTTGTTGGCTTTGCTGGCTTTGGCGTCCTCCAAATGAACGTGCTGACGGCGATGGCCTGGCGTGGCGGGGTGACGGGTCCGGCCGCTGCAACCTCGAGCAGCCCATCGAGACGGCGCCGCCAGCCTTCCCTTCCGGTGCCCGACCTCCTCCCCCTCGCTCTTGAAGGCGTCCTCAGCGCGGCGCCTCCTGTTTGCGTTGGGGCGGGACGGCCTGGGCGGGGCACAGCGGGGCGCAGGCAGCGACCCTCTTCACGGAGCTCGAAGCTCCAACTGCGGGGTTTCTGGTTCCCGCCGTCATTAGGCTAGGAAGTACCTGAAAGTAGCCCCGGCAACTTTTCGCTTTCCGTCTTTTTCCTTTGTTCCTATGGATGATCCGCGGTCCTCGGCGGTCCGGCCAAAGGCAGGCTGTAGTGAGGGCGGGGCGGCGGCGCTCAGACGAAACCGCTTTTGCTTCCGGCCTGCTCGGCGCGCAGCACGACTCGCGGAACCTCCCTATTCCGTTCCAGCGACTCGTTCCCCTGCTTCCCGAACCCCCACCCACCACTACACACGCACACAGATTGCCTGACGATCCGCGTGACTCTGAACTAACGGTGAGCAACGTGTCCATGCCCCAGCATGTCCATGTTCTTCTTCCGCCTGCACAACCTCCGCCGCGAGGAGGAGAACAAGAAGCGGCAGCGCGACGTACGGCAGCGGCGCACGCTGGGCTGCCCCACCATGCGCTTCCCCAACAACCTCACGCTGGCGCCAAGCCGCCTCTTCGAGCGCACGCCCCTCACGCCGTCGGACTCCTTGGACGAGGTGGCGCTCCAGATCCCCAGGTAACGTGTTGGCCGCACAGCTGCGGGTTCCTTGGCTTGGCGGTGCCCGCGCGTCGCCGAGCAGGCCGTGTCGGTGGTGGTGATGCCGGTGGGGGTCGACGAGCGTTTCTGCAGCGCGCCTCGCGGAGAATGGCCTGCAATGGCCGCCCTCTGACGTGGCCGCTCCTTGTGTCTGTTGCAGGTGAGGTTGTTGCCCGTGCTGCTGGCCCGGCCGTCGGCCCGGCGCCGCGTGGGTGAGTGAGTGGAGCGTTGCCCCGAGTGTGGTCGAGATTGTTTCGCCCGCCGGGCGCGACCCTGGTGACCCAGGTGTGGCCGCGGACACGAGCTGACCCACCTGTCCTTCACGCTTACGGCCCGCCGGCCCGTCCAGGACCGCCCCGTGTGGGTAATGAACGCGCCTAATCCGCTTAGGAACTTTCCTCTCTCTCCCACGGCAATAATTCACTTACGATTTCGTAGCAAAATCCATCTCCCCACTCTCGCTCGCTCTCCTCGGGCTGGGGCGCTGGGGGCGGGCACGGCGCGTCCCCGCAGGGCGGCAAGGCGGGGCTGCTTGATAAGATTGGCTAGAATCTCTCCCAGAGCCGCCGGACTCTGAATCCTTATTGGGGTCGGTAAAACTATTCCTGCAGCAGGCTCTCCCGATGAATCCTCCCAGATATTGCCCTGGGGACACTCTGTAAAACCCGAGACGCACTGGACATAAAATTGATTGCCTCTCTGGGCTCGGGTTTACCCGAGTGGTCCGTAAATACATATTTTCAGGTTTATTTTGCAAGTCGTGGACTACGTAAGATTCTCCAGCACATTATAGGGACCTGAAAGCTTAAGCGCCGCTAAAGTCAGTCCGCTCTTGCTCTGAGCCCACTACTGCTTTTCACTGCTGCATTATGACCGAGTTTGTTGCCCATTCATGCATTCAATCCGGAAGCTGGATGAGGGGCGGCATGAGAAATTCATTCAAAGTAAAGTGCCGCCGCGCCGCCGCCGCGCAGCTTGAAAAAGCGGTTCTGCGGGCAAGCGCGGTCGCGGCGGTTTATCCCTGGCAGCGTCACGCGGACGTCACGCCGGGCAACGCGCCAGTGGCTCTGCCAGCGCTCTGCCTTCCGCGCGTTCCGGCTCCAGCCGCTCCGCGGTGTTTACCTGAAAACGTAATGACTCGGTCGGCATCTGGGACCAGGTCCTGGCGGTCCTGGCGGTCCTGGAGGAGAGCTGCGCGGCCCAACGCCATTTCAATTACATGAGGGCCTGGGCCTGGGCCTGGGCCGCCCGGGCCGCGCCCGACCGCGCCACGGGGGGTTCGTAAGGGTTGGGGCGCGCCCCGCTGTGTTCGCCGCGTTCGCCGTGTCCCCGGGGCGGCCCAGCCCGGCCCGAGACGCAGGCCCGGGACGCCGGGACTCCCGGACGACGAATCAGCCTTTTTGTTTCGGCCCGGAAGCACAACTCGACGACATTATTGCCGAGCGCGTGCGGCGCGGGGCTCAGCGCGCCAACGGCGCCAACGCCGCCAAGGGGCTCAACAGGTTCGACTGGCGGGCATGGCAGGCATGGCGGCACCGCTTTGTGCTGGCCCGCTGGTGCGCTAATGCAGCCCTGCCTGCGCCGTCACCTTCTGAACCGCAAAACGCGCCATTCGCGATTCGGTGAGAAAACAACGAGGAAGAAAGCAGGTCGCGGGGAATTTCACTGCGAATTGCATTCCGTTTGGATGAGCGTCGCGGAGGCCGGGCCAGAGCGGGGCGGGGCGGGGTGGAGGAAAAGAGAGGGGGGCGCAAAATTTTCTCCCCCTCTCTCTCTTTTTCTCTCCCCGCCGTGTTCTCCGGTGCGCGTTCAACCTGAATAATGCACCTAATCTTCCGTGTCCTAATTCCCTTTCCTGCCCGTCCCGGTCCTGGCCGTCCCCGTCGACGGCGGCCTCGAAAAGTTATTCCCACCCCCTTCCATGTTCTTCATCTTGCTCTCCTTGCCGTACTCACCCCTCTCACCTCCGCCCTCCGCGCGCGCTGCTCACGCCGGAGTTCTCTATTTTCGGTTCGGTTGTCGTCGTCGGTGGAGGGAGGCCACACACGCATGGCAACCATGCGCAGCCCCCGGCCCGGCCCGGCTGGCCATCGGGGACCGTGCACGGCGCCGCCTCCGCCGCCCCCGCCGCCAGAGTAGGGTCTATTAATAGACGACCCCATTACCAACAGCCCAATTTCGTTTGGGGATGACGGACGGACAGCCCGACGGGCGCGGCGCGGGTACAGTAGAGGCCGTCGGGGACCCGCTGGCTGGCACTGGCCGGCCAGTCCTCCAGGACTCTGCTGAAGGAGGCTGGAACTATAACGGGTGGCAGTAAAAGCGCGCGGCTCCAGGCTCTCCCGAGCTCTCCAGGGGGTGGAATGCAGTCTGGAGAGGCGAACCCAAGCCGCAACCCCGAGGCACGCTCTCGAGGCGCGCTCCAGCTAGCCTCGCTCAAGGCATGTGCCTTGGAGGGTCCGCGTCCGCCCGCGTCGCAGCCACATAGTGACCGCTCTCCCTTGTTCTCGTTTGCCGCCGCCCGAAAAAACGAACGCCGAGACGAAAAAGAGTCGCTTTGTTCTGTGGCAGCTGCCGTGACAATATCTTGCAGCCCCTGGGGGCGCGACACGACGTGCCGTCCATAACAACAACAACAACACTGGCGGACTTCCCGAATGAGAAACGCACTCGCCTGGCTTGTATTCAATGCATTTATTGCTCGGCCGGAGGGGAGCCAGAGGCCAGCGGGCCAGCGAGCCACCACGATGGAGGCCAGTTTGTCCGTTGGCCGCGCGCTTCGCTATGCTTCGCAATGCCTCGTGTTTTCCCCGGATTCCCCGTTCCGGCTCAAAGGCCGCCGAAGCAGTGCCGTATCGTTTAGAGCAAAACATTAATAATGGATCGGCTCGGCTCTGTCCCCTGCAGCAGGCTGATGCCGGGCAGAACAAGAAAAAAACGGCGGTGGCTTCGGCGCTGCATTTTATGTGGACGGCCTCCTTCTCGGCGGCTGTGCAGGGCGCGCCGTCCGCCGCCCGCCCCTGGGGGACCAGGACGTCAGGGAGGGCCCCATGTGCACGGAGCCGGGACGGGACGGGAGCGGCCTGCCATCTCATCATAGCGAAGTAGGGCACCGCGCAGTACGCCGTTCGCCCCTCGAGAAGTCCACGCCACTGGCTCTGTAAGCCGAAGGCCCGAAGGCTCGGCGGAAAGGACCCTCTGCCTGCATTTTCCGGGGGCGAGTCGGCAACCCTTTCTCCCCCTGCACGCCACAGCGTGTCGCGTGGCGCGGCGGGGTGGCGCCCTCGTAGGGTTGCCCCCCGGCCAGGTGCGCGCCCTCGCCGAATATTGAGGAGCTAATTTCAAAAGGTAAAGAGGGGATGATCCGGCTGGAGACCGGGGAGGACGGGTGGCCCCCTCACTCGCGTCCCGCGCGGCCCGGCCCAACCAATCTCCTCGCCTCGGCCCGGCCCGCTGCCCGGCTGCCCCGCCGCCCCGCCGGCACCGGCGACACGTGTTCGGCCGGCGCTTTTATTCGCGGAAGCAGCTTCCGCGTGTAGGGTGGCGCCAACAGTTTGTTATTCAGCGCAGGTGGCATTCAGGCCGCCTGTTTTCCGCCCCCCCCCCTCCGGCCCTTTCGGGGGCTTTGCGGGCTTTGCAGTGGGGCCGCCTCCTTCAGCGAGCAATTACCGCTCCCATCCATTACTCGCCCAAAGGCGGGTAACTCAATCTGCGCACTCGTTTCGGGCGGAACGAGGATGTACTACCTGCGGCCCGATTCCGAGTCGCGTTTCGTCGCTCTGTCTCTCTCGCACTGCCACGGGACGCCCCACGGGGGAGAAAGAGACAGTCGCAGCGCGTCGCTTTTTATGCGCGTCGCCACCGCAACGAATCACGCTGCCAATCGGCATCCCGGAAATGGCGCCGGGAAATGGGGCCTCGACGGCGAGGTGCTCCCCGGTCCCCGCGGCCGCCGAAGTTGCCGCCGAAGTTGCCGCCAAATTGGGGCCTCCAAATAAGCGAGGCGCCATAATCGACGAGCAGACAGCGCCGTGTATTAATACCCCGTGGAGGCAGGGCGGCCGGGGCGCGCAGGGCGTAGGGCCGTGATCACTGAGCAGGCGAAGCGGGCCAGGCGGGCGAAGCAGCCCTTTGACACAAAACCTCCGCCGGGAACCGCGCCGCCCTGCCGCGCCGCCCTGTGGCTGCCCTTTAGCCCAGCCGAGCACGACGGCGGTGGGTAGGACGCCGTGGCGGTCTTGTTGTTGGTAAACACCCGTCTGGGGGGTCTGCCAGCCGTCAGAGGCAGGCTGACTCCGAACTACGCTTTATCTCTCTTGCTTTATCCCAGGGCGTCCCGTAGCGATGCGAGAGGGAGACGGAGCACGGCCATCCAGCAGCCGTCTGACAGCGCGGACAGCACACACGCCGCGGCAGTTTCCCGAGATAGCGTCGTGAGACGGCACGGCGGCACGGCGGCCGGATTTATGAAGCGCGATCACTTTTCTTGCCCCACTATCACTGCAGTGGAACTGCTGCCCTCACCAAGCCTCACCGCCACGGTGCCCTTTATGTCGTCATCTGGCTGCCGAGGTGCGGCGGGGCGGGACGGGGTGGGGCGTGGCGGGTGAGCGCGGCGCGGCGGGCGGCGGGGCGGGGCGGGGCGGGGCGGGGCGGGCTGACCTGACTCCATCTGCCTGATTGCTCTGCCCGTCCACCCGACCCGTGCTTCCGCCGTCGGCTTCAATTATTCTCCGGATTCAATTGGGGCGCCTCTTTGCAATGCGAGAGCGACGGCTTGCATGGCCGAGGCCGGCGTCGACGCGGTGCTCCGAGCTCCCCATCGTCGTGCCGCGGAGTGCCGGGGGGGCTGCCCGCTGGCCAGTGTTTGGGTTGCCTTGACGCGCCGGGCGGGGCGCAGGTCGCCAGGGCCGTGAGGTAGGTAGGCACCCCGTGGCGGTGCGCGCGAGCGGCGCAAGCGCGTCGGGTGCGCGCTGGCC